ACTTTTTGGCAAGTCTGTGGTCCGTATTTGAAAGAGGGGTCTTTTTTCTCGCAGATAGACCAGAAAGAGAATTCGTGGGATCAAGAATGGGCGAGTTAGAAGGCGAAATCCTGCTTGTTCAAATATGGCTCACATGAAGTTTGATGGGCTGCCAAAAATCCATTCTTTGCTCTATTTTATACATGTTTCGATGGTAGTCGTCTTCTCCACATTCTTTTGTTCCATTGTGGTCCTTTCTGACTTCATTCCTTACTTAAAAGTGATCTAGCTCAAATTTTAATTAACCAGCCGCTGTAACCCGAAAATCGCAATTTTTCGAAATTAACGAGTATCAGAAGCTGTTTGAATTTTGGCATGATGAGGCAACAATCCACACCGAAAAGAAGAAATCGCAGTTGTCAAAACCCATCTTTCAAACACGGAAAAAATGATATTCAGCTTTCTAACTCGCTCACTCATAGTCCCACAATTGCTCTTGTCTATATAACTTAAAAAAGAAAGTCTGCCTTTTAAAACCCAGCCCGATTGAGTATAAAGTTGTTTAGTTGAAGTAATTTGAATATGAAATGAATTGACGAAAGGCATCGTATTTTTAGGAGCTGAATTTGACTGAAATCTTAAAACGGAAGAGATCGGCTTGCGCACATAAACATGATCATTTTCTGCATTTTCATCATGTTTTTGATTTTCTTAGGCACTATTTCGTCAATGCAAGGGATCACTGCTAAATGAGTTCTTGCCTTGCACATAATTTTTTGGACTTGTGAACCGGCAGAGGAACTCAAAAGTATGCATGTAGGCAAACTGGCAAAAAAGGAAAAAAATGACCATTCAAGGATCTCCCGGAAAGCACTGTGGATTTCCTAATAAGTAGGTTGTTCCGTCATTTTGTATCAATTCGAATAATTTATTCAGGGTTTGTATTGGACGCTTTTGGCCTACCGGACAAAGAACTTCTACAATTTGCACAAGAATGCGACAAAGGCGTCAAAGGTAAAACTTTCGTCTCAAAAAGTTTACGCATCTGGTACTGATGTTTTTCAGAAGAACCGGCCCAGGACATCTAACGTGAGCATTGACTTGAACATCATCGAAAAAACGGACGCCGACATTGCAGTGCCGATGCGAACGACACACATTAGTCCAATTCCAGTTGTATTTTGTCAAGTGTTCTCTCGATGTAGTTTATTTGATTTTGCGCTGATGTAGATTTTTCTGTACCATGAAGTTTTTAATAAATACTATGGCTTGATTTGTTAGGGACAGTGAAAGATGACAGCGCGGTAGACGTGAAACACACCAGTATAGAATATGTGCTCTATACTTTGTTCCACTATATACTTAATATTAATATATATATACCACTATATATGTACCGATCAGGGTGAACCACTGCTTTAAGGATCGGGGCATTATGGTGTCTCCTGCAGGTCACTCTGATAACGACCGGAGAATGCCCTGTCGGGGCATTATGGTGTCTCCCGCAGGTCACCCCGCTGCAAACACAGGTGACCTGATTTTGCCCCGACACCGATTTCGTGTGACGCGCCGTTGGTCAATGAGATCACACCATTTTAACCTGCGGGTGACAACCGCGAATGTCTGAGTGGTGGGGCGGCCACCTTGCGCCGCAAACGCGGACGCGGCGCAAGACCTGAGCAAGGTGGCCGCTACAATCAGGCTCAAGCGTGTTGATGCAATCCGCGACCTTCATTTATGACCAACTCCCCCTTTGAAGGTACCCATCCATACGACCTTTTCCCTCCTTTCAGTTCACCCTTCCCCCATATCCACGCCTTTGCGGTAACCTGCATTAACGTGTCAGATGACCTCAAAGAAGCCAATAGACCTTGACTAAATATCACACGTCAGAGGACAAAATCCTACTTACAAAGTGGAAGATAATGCTAATAATGTATGATCTCGTGATCTCGTAAAGGTGAATAAAAAAACCGCATTGACGAAGAAGGAGATCACTCATAGTCTGCTATCGACTGAGTAATTAGAACTAACAATCGCAGCATAGTCCCTAATCTGTTATTAGAAGATAAATTATCACAAATTATCAATTGTATCGACTGAGGTGATCGCTCTGTATACTCAAATTGAAAAAAATTATTAAAAAAACAGAGCATACCTTCGATAGTCTAGAAACAGGGCGTCAAAAGTGAAGGTTGTTTGAGCACCTGACGTCATAAATAGATAAGGTTGTTTAAAGATGATCAGAGAAGAGAAAATGACATAAAACAAATATAAAAAGCAAAAGAAACTGCTGCAATCCGAATAAAAACGCTGCAATGAAGCTTGAAATCTTTAATTCGGCGGCTTTTCAAAGTGCAAGTTTTCGCTTTAGGACAAGCAATTCGCAACCCGGGGTTTTGATTTTTGATGCGTCCTTTAAATTTTTACTCCCGCATTAATGTTCCTGTTTCCCGGGAGGTTGTCTGGATTGTTGCGCTTATTGTTCTGAGCAACAATCGCCCAAGCTGGAAAAAAATCGATGCGAAAGCACTGAAACAGAACAAAGTAAAGAAAAACGCACTTTTCACGATTTTTCGCCAAAAATTCCACAATAATCGAAGAGATAAATGCTGGGTGGTTGTCTGCATTATGAACAGAAGCAAGATCTATAGAATGCATGGAAAAACCGCGTGGAAACAGTTGAACTAGGAGAAGAACAAGAGATTTTCGAAAACAAGGTTTTTGCCGGATTTCTCGATCAAACCAAAAAGTTTGGTTCTGGGACGTTGTCAGCGTGATAATAGAGATCAAGAGCTTCAAATTATATATAGCTTGCTAAAATTGAGTTCGAAACAGCGAAGAAAAGGGTACCAGAGCCAAATGCCCCGCGCCCCACGTTTAGAGTAGCGAGGTAGCGCGCAGCGCGCGGAGACGCAGACGAGCAGCGGAGACAGACCAGAGCCGACGGGGCATTTGGGTCTGGTCGTAGATCTCCGCGGGGTCTCAACGAAACCCCGCAACAATTGTATCATTCTGATCGCCATGACACGACGAGGAGAACTGACAACGTCCCAGGCATTCAAAATCACTCATTAACGAAATAGACCAACGTTTCCCTGCGCACTCTCTGCGCAAGATTTAAGCGCAGTTTCTCGTTCCTATTTAACTCCAATAGCTTTCTTAAATTTCTGAAACTCAATTTTGTTCAATGAGAGGTTAACTAAGAAATTTTGTTCTGAATTCTGGCGAAAATCCCACAGAAACATTTTTTTAAGGTAAAAAAGGCTATGAAGACGCAAATTCCCGGTTTCGCTGAGATAAGCTAAAGATATTATCTTATATATAAAGCTGAATGTCTGTATGTCTGTATGTATGTATGTCTGTATGTATGTCTGTATGTATGTACGTATGTTCCGAATAGAAATTTTTATTTCTGAACCGATTCGGACCAAACTTGGCACACATACACTTCGGGCCCCGGCGGGTGTCACAGTCCACTTTTCGTCATCGATCGATATCGATTTTATCGCTTTTTTGCAAAGTTTGAGCTACGGGGCTGGGAGTTGGCACAGGGGGGTAAGTGAGCATGGGGATTCTGAATACAACATTAGTTGCTGATCACCCCCACGGGGGTGATCAGCATGCTCGATTACCCCCCCCCCCCTGTGCCAAATCCCAGCCCCGTAGCTCAAACTTCGCAGAAAAATCGATAAAATCGATAAAAGTAATGCACGGTTTCGAAAACTAATATTGTATTCGTAATCAGCATGCTCGATTACCCCCCTGTGCCAAATCCCACCCCCTAGCTCAAATTTTGCAAAAAATCGATAAAATCGACATCAATCGATAACGAAAAGTGGACTGTGACACCCGCCGGGGCCCGAAGTGTATGTGTGCCAAGTTTGGTTCGGATCGGTTAAGAAATGGAATTTCCTATTCGGAACATACGGCGGAGCCGGGTAAGCCAGCTAGTTCCCTATATTTGCTTCATTAACATTCGTTCCGATATAATCAGGATTATAACAGAAGTCATCCGGGGCTTTGCCCCGGATGACTTCTGTTTTTTTTCCAGGTGAAGGTTGTGTCCCCTCATAACCCTCAAAGTGAAGGTTACCAGAGTACGTGGCTCTATGTATCGAGGGTATGCTTCTTCTCGATCAAATGCAAACGTGCCAGAGATTGATAGATAAATGAAATAAATAAATAAATAAATAAATAATCACTCTTTGTCAGTCAGCTGCCTCTAAGCACTGTATATAATGCACATTCAATTCGGAGGAGCCGCGCCGCATCAGACATTATTCTAGAAGGAAAACAGCGTACTACCAATTCTTTTTATCGAATTCACTGTATTGACCAATCTGTAGGCCCTTTATGCGTTCAGGATGGAGCTGAACGCTGAAATTGAGGAAAACTTATCAGTTCAAGAGTGATGCAAAAAAAGAGCAGCAAAACCTACACCAAGGGTCCTGCTTATGCGCAGTAACATCGATGTCATATCAATCATCATGAGTCATGATCGGTTATGTTCGCGATTATCGTGAAATGAGCATTGAAAGCTAGCAGTTGATGACCAAGATAGAAACGAAAGATGAGCTTTATTTCTGTTCGAAAAAGAGGCTGGGACAATCAGCAAAAACACAGCATTTTTCTAGAGCGCCACTTATTAGAAATGAAGCGACCATCGCCGTTTGCAATAAAACGGCGATTGGGAAGTCTCAGGCCTTGGCCACACCGCTTTTGAGCCCACGCTCAAAAGCTCTCAAAAGCGCCCAAACTTCTCTGGCCTCACCACACTCTCTTTCATCTCTCCTCACACAAGAAAGTGAAGAGACATTAGATTCGGGCGCTTTTGAGCGCTTTTCGGCGCTTTTGAGCGAAGTGTGGCCAGGGCCATATATAACCTGGACATTTTGAACTGAAGTCCTTTTACGCCAGGTCCACCTTATAGACTAAGTAAACCAGAAAAAAGACGCAATTTTATTGTTAGAAAGCTTGAAAAAAGCGAAAATTCTGTATTACTGAAATACCTTCTTTCTTAAATAGTAGTCCCATGACGACTTCGAGCGTGCCTCTTCCCACTAAACATCGACTCTGATTGTTCTTCATACCACAAACACAGCGACAATTGCAACATCAACAACACCAGAAACTTTAGGTTTCTGAAGTTTTTCTCAAAACAGGCTATCTCAAATACAATTAGCACTTTCAAAACTATTATAACAGGAAATGGTGTTGCCGAACTAGCCAAAATCATATAATCGCAGATCATATAAACTACCTGGCCTGCAACCTTTTGCTCTCTGATTTCCTTGGTCATCCTTAACGTGCTAGCCAGGGCTGGTACATCAGCTGAAGTTGTGACAATAACAATACAATACATCAACATAATCATACAATTACAATACAATACATCGACAAACTGCGACAATTCAGTAATACTTGTAAGTACCTTGAGACGTGTATTATGTGCTCATATGTGAGGATGCACGAATCGCCGAGGAAGTATGCCCATGGGCGAGTAGCTAGCGACTTAGTCACAGCATCGGAAATCGCGACGATGAAATCGCGTCTCAGACATTCGCGGTTGTCACCCGCAGGTTAAAATGGTGTGATCTCATTGACCAACGGCGCGTCACACGAAATCGGTGTCGGGGCAAAATCAGGTCACCTGTGTTTGCAGCGGGGTGACCTGCGGGAGACACCATAATGCCCCGACAGGGCATTCTCCGGTCATTATCAGAGTGACCTGCGGGAGACACCATAATGCCCCGCTTGAAGCAGCGGTTTACCCTGATGGGTACATATATAGTGGTATATATATATATTAATATTAAGTATATAGTGGAACACACAAGTGTAGAGTACATACTCTATACTGGTGTGTTCCACGTCTACCGCGCTGTCATCTTTCACTGTCCCTAACAAATCGAGCCATAGTATTTATTAAAAACTTCATGGTACAGAAAAATCTACATCAGCGCAAAATCAAATAAACTACATCGAGAGAACACTTGACAAAAAACAACTGGAATTGGACTAATGTGTGTCGTTCGCATCGGTTACTGCAATGTCGGCGTCCGTTTTTTCGATGATGTTCAGTGCTCACGTTAGATGTCCTGGGCCGGTTCTTCTGAAAAACATCAGTATCAGATGCGTAAACTTTTTGAGACGAAAGTTTTACCTTTGACGCCTTTGTCGCATTCTTGTGCAAATTGTAGAAGTTCTTTGTCCGGTAGGCCAAAAGCGTCCAATGCAAACCCTGAATAAATTATTCGAATTGATGTACAAAATGACGGAACAACCTACATATTAGGAAATCCACAGTGCTTTCCGGGAGATCCTTGAATGGTCATTTTTTTCCTTTTTTGCCAGTTTGCCTACATGCATACTTTAAGTTCCTCTGCCGGTTCACAAGTCCAAAAAATTATGTGTAAGGCAAGAATTCGTTCAGCAGTGATCCCTTGCATTGACGAAATAGTGCCTAAGAAAATTAAAAACATGATGAAAATGCAGAAAATGATCATGTTTATGTGCGCAAGCCGATCTCTTCCGTTTTAAGATTTCAGTCAAATTCAGCTCCTAAAAATACGATGCCTTTCGTTAATTCATTTCATATTCAAAAACCTCAATCGGGCTGGGTTTTAAAAAGCAGACTTTTTGGTTATACAGACAAGAGCAATTGTGGGACTATGATTGAGCGAGTTAGAAAGCTGAATATCATTTTTTCCGTGTTTGAAAGATGGGTTCTGACAACTGCGATTTCTTCTTTTCGGTGTGGATTGTTGCCTCATCATGCCAAAATTCAAACAGCTTCTGATACTCGTTAATTTCGAAAAATTGCGATTTTTGGGTTACAGCGGCTGGTTAATTAAAATTTGAGCTAGAACACTTTTAAGTAAGGAACGAAGTCAGAAAGGACCACAATGGAACAAAAGAATGTGGAGAAGACGACTACCATCGAAACATGTATAAAATAGAGCAAAGAATGGATTTTTGGCAGCCCATCGAACTTCATGTGAGCCATATTTGAACAAGCAGGATTTCGCCTTCTAACTCGCCCATTCTTGATCCCACGAATTCTCTTTCTGGTCTATCTGCGAGAAAAAAGACCCCTCTTTCAAATACGGACCATAGACTTGCCAAAAAATGATCCAACGAGAGCCGTGGACGAAAGTCCGCAAGAAACCATTGCATGCATTGTGGAAATTTCATTGAAGAGAATAAATTCTCTTATCAAGGCCGGAAGCCAGAGCCATAGCTGGTCATTTGACTAGCTATGGCTTTGCAGACGGGAATTCAAATCTGATGGGGTACGGGTACCAAACGTGCATTTTACACCCAGATTTAGCTCTTTGTTTCCTGCATGAAAATAAATTTGAGTAAATTTTTTTACACAGCAGCAGTCCATATACGGCTGCAGCCGGTCTTACTTCTGTGAAACTGCGAAAACAAGCTATGGAAAAGCCCATTCTGCAGGAGAAATTTTCTTATAAAAACACATTTTTCGAACTATGACAATACTTCGGGCGCTAAACTATTTTTTTTTTGCTAGAAAAGTATTGTGTCAAAAAGATTTTCTCGTAAAATGACGTTTTCGCAATTTTTGTTCTGCACGTGTCAGCTTGAAGCTACCCACAATAAGTAATGGATAGTATAAGTTACATGTTTTGACAAATTTTAGCTAGCTAGCGACGCCTCAACGGTTTGTTGAACCCGACACAAGATTACGATATTTCAAGTTTGTTTAAGCTTGTAGTTGGCTTGAAACTTAGTCAAATTAGGCTTGTGGTTAACATTTGAGTCTAAGCTCACAAAATTGCACTCCGCAAATTTGCTGAGTTGGAAGGAGTCCTGAAGTAACCTACTGAATTGAGAAGAAAATGCTTACCTTCGATCTACAACGCCAGCGCAGAGATTGCAAGTGAAGTTGCCATTTTGGACGCGCATCTCATCTGAACTGACAAACCGTCAAATCGATGTCCTACGGAAACGGTGAGCTCACTTTTATTGATGTGCTGGAAAATTAAGGAAAAATAATAAGCGAAATTGAATCAAAAGGCACCATTAAGTATGATTAAGATAGAATAGGTCTGGTATAATGACAAGTTTATGTTATGAAAGAACACAAATGATCCCAAGGAGCGATTATAAGCGATGTATAAGAAAGAATGAAAGCAAAAACACTGAAGAAAAAGGCACCAATCAACAAAAAGCAATCACCAAGAGAAGACGACTATTCCGCAACATCACTATCATACACGCATGCGGCGTGCATTGGGGCAAAATCGCAGTAAAATCCGGTCAAAACTAAATTCATGTCTCCCGACGGTGCACCGGGTTTTGGTGCGATCAGCCATTTTGTGGGCGGTCCACCTGCGGGTGACAACGGCGAATGTCTGAGGTAATGTATGCCCGGCCCTTTATACATAAAGCTGAATGTCTGTTTGTCTGTATGTCTGTATGTCTGTTTGTCTGTCTGTACGTATGTTTCGAACAGAAAATTCGATTTCCGGGCCAAAATTGGCACCCATACACTTCGGGGTAAGGCGGGTGTCATAGGCCACTTTTCGTTATCGATCGATATCGATTTTATCGATTTTTATCGATTTTTTTGCTGAGTTCGGTTACGGGGCTGGGAGTTGGCACAGGGGTAAGTGGGCATGCTGATTACGAATACTATATTAGTTTTTAGAATTATCGATTACTTTTATCGATTTTATCGATTTTTTGTAAAGTTTGACCTGGGGGCTGGGAGTTTGCACACAGACGGGTAATCGAGCATGCTGATTACGAATACAATATTAGTTCTCAAAATCGTCCATTACCTTTATCGATTTTATTGATTTTTTTGCAAAGCTTGAGTTACGGGGATGGGAGTTGGCACAGGGGGGTAATCGACCATGCTGATTACGAATACAATATTAGTTTTCAAAATTATCGATTACTTTTATCGATCTTATCGTTTTGCAAAGTTTGAGCTACGGGGCTGGGAGTTGGCGCAGGGGGTAGGTGAGCATGCTGAGAAAACGGAGATAGGGAGTTTGCTGGAGAAGTGGCACAGGGAAGGATTCTGCACGGATAAGGATGGAAACTTCATCATAGTTTTCACTGAACCGGGCGGAGCCGGGTAAGCAAGCTGGTCGATAATTATTGATGACTAAAGTAGCCTACAACACCCGCTCCGCCTCGGAATGTAGTGCCAAGTTTGGTCCAAACCGGTTCAGAATTAAAATTTTCTCTCAGAACATTCATACAGACAGACATAAGACACACAAATAAACAGACATTCAGACATTTATATATGAGATAATATATTTTCTACCTGCAAGAAAATAGAGATTTATCAAAAGCGCTTGCGAGATAACATAGGAATAATATGCTTGCAGGTGTAACAAAGACGTGTATGAAAGGATGAAGATTAGAGGATCTGGCGTCTTCAATATTCACTGCGGGCATGTGCTGAATTTACTCTAATTCATAGTCGAAGAGGCTAATAATGCTTGCGACCAGTAACTTACGGGGCCTGCCGATCATCAAGTCAGGTCAGTATCTTTGCTTCAACCAGATGGGCGGCTGAAAGGTGGGGCTCCGCGATTTAATGGCTAGAAAATGATGATAGAGCACATTTGCGAGGGAGGCGCAGACTGCGTCGCGGACGCGAGCAGTCGTCTCGTAGGTCATGAAGCCTCCCCTTCAGCAGCCAGTCTAATTGAAGTAAAGATTACTTTTACCCTCCAAGAATACTCTGGTATTAATTCAACGGCCCCGAAGGGTGGGAGGGAGTGAAGAGTGTATTATTAGCATGTATTGGCGAACTTTTCAAACTTGCATGTTTTTGGGGATTTGTAAGTTATTGTTCGGCCATTTGCTACGTATTGTGGCCGAACCGACCTATACATTAATCATTCCGCAGTAAAGCGGGCGGGTTCGGGGGTCAACGGGGCTCTTCTGTTATAAGCTTCCTCAGTCTCATAATAAACGTTCATAGCGACGTGTTGTGTTATCTCCCAGTTATAGTTGCCCTATAGTGGCACAATTCTGGTGCATCGGCCAAATTTCTGAGCCGTTATCTAGCCCTGCGGTAAGCAGTGCATCAACAGCTCTATCCCTTGTGAAATTGAACTACGACAACGCCTTGTGCAATGTCGATGTCTACACATAAAAAAGCCATTACTCGCGGCATACAGTCCCTTCAATCATTTGTGGATAAATTCACAATATATACGAAGGAATTGCAACTAAACGCTTCACTCGAAGAAAACTATGAAGCGTGCCGCGAAACAATTAGCAGCATAAAGGGTGCCATAGATGCCCTCCAAATCAGCAAGGATTCGCTGCAGTTATTGATAAACCAACTCCTACAAAGTCACGAAGAGGCCCGTAAGATCAATAAACTAGATGCGGAGAGTATATGGCCAACGCCACCGAAATGGTGTGCATATTGATCAAAAGGCTATCGGAAGCGCAGAATTACGCCGAGAAAATGGCGAGAAAGCTGGGTATAACCAGCAACCTATCCCAGACCGGAACATTATCGGATACTGGAAGACCTACACAGAGTAAAAGTACTGATGAGGTAATTAACCCAACAGAAGCTGCCTGGCTTACAGAGGACAGTTCTGATGAGCAAAATGTCGACAGATGGTAACGAAATGGCCTGTCAAAGTTTAAAACTCCACCAAATGAAGCTACCACGCTTTTATGGAGACGAAGAAGAATTTCCCGAATTTTGAGGAGTATTTACCACACTAGTGGATCAGAACAAAAGTTTGACCGCAGTAAAAAAATATTCTTTCTCAAAGACAGCCTTAGAGGAAAGGGCTGAGCTAACTGTGAAAGGAATACAACTAATTCCGCAGAACTATACATGGATGACTGAAGAACTCAAAAGAAAATACGGTAATAAACCGATAAATCGCACAAGAATCGTGCAAAAATTAGAGGATATGCTACCTGCAAATGGCTCCGCGGAGAGTTGCATGGATAGATACGACAAAATACGTGTCCTCATCAATCAAATGGTATCTGCCGGCCAAGACATCCGGCAAAGTAACGATGTCCTGTGGACGGAAAAAAATTATAGAAAAATTTCCACAAAATATTGTATTAGGTTGTCCGGAAATTAATGTCCGATTTGAATTTCAACCGCAATAAGTCACACACTTCTCATTTCTGAATAGGTTGCAAGGTATCATTCGATAGAGCAAGGCAAGCTCTACAAAATGGCCATCTTGTTTTTGCAGCAGCTCTCATTAACCTTGAGTTTCGAGTCAAAAACTAAAATGATTTAGCTGCACGAAAAAAATTAGAAAAATGGTAACTTAGTTCATAAAAATCCCACAAAGATTCTAACTTGCTCACGTAAACGCTATCCGCATAAAACATCTATATACGCCTTTTCCATCTTTCTTCACCTTTTAGAAATCAAGAAAACAGAAATTTTCGTGCGTTTCCAAAAGTGATGCTGTGCAGTCCGAACATGCGTAGTTGTATTCTATAAGCCTGTAGGATTACAAACGTAAATTTTCGGCTCTTTAAAGCTTTAGTTCTCAAGAAATTTAGATTTTGGCTTGGATCACCTGGTTAGGGAAAGTCATATTCAATATTTCTCGAGAACCAAGGCTTGTACAAAGCTGAAAAATCACGTTTTTCTAAGGCTTGTAGAATACAACTACGCATGTGCGGACTGCGCAGCATCACTTTTGGAAATGCACGAAAATTTTCGTTTTTTTTTTTTGATTTCTCAAAGGTGAAGAAAAATGGAAACGGCGTATATAGATGTCTTATGTGGATAGCGTTTACGTGAGCAAGTTAGAATTTTTGTAGGATTTTTAGAAATAAGTTACGATTTTTCTAATTTTTCCGTGCAGCTGAATCATTTTAGTTTTTGGCTCGAAACTCAAGGTTAATGAGAGTTGCTGCAAAAACAAGATGGCCATTTTGTAGAGCTTGCCTTGCTCTATCGAATGATACCTTGCAACCTATTCAGAAATGAGAAGTGTGTGATTATTGCGGTTGGAATTCAAAACGGACATTAATTTCCGGACAACCTAATAAGAAGCGTTCTCAGAGCCGTTTAGCAAAAAGTATCGGTCAGGATAGAGAATTTAATGAAGGAATTCGATATGGAAATCTCGGCAAAAATGTTTGTAGATTCCAGACTGAGAAACCATGGAAGAGAACCACCAAAACCTCAGGATTTTCACCATAAAGAAGATACCAGAAGCAAAGTACGACAATGTATACAGGGTGTACCAAAAATGTGAACACTGTTTGATCGTTAATAACTCCCTTGCTTTCATGTCTTTGGCCGAGCTTGAGACACATTCTGTGGAGCGAGGTTCAGCTTAGATTTGTAGTATGGAGCGAATCATCGATCGCTTTTCATTACTGTAGGATTACGGTAGGAACTTTGACAAGGATTTTAGGCCTTAGAGGCCATATTCTGCCTCGGAACAAAACCAAACGAGCCAAAAGCTCTTATACCCTGGTAATGGAAGCCGCTGATTTCGAATATGAAATTTCCACTGTACTGTGACGCTTCTTTCCGAAGTTATCCCAGGTAAACCGTAATAACAGAATTCCCAGCATTTGTCAAAAATGTGATAACCCCGTATAAAAAGCTAAAAACTCTCGTAAAAAGTTGTGCAATGGATTCAGCGTGTGCGGAAACCCTAGTACACGATTTTTCAGATTTTTTGGAAAAAATTTTATCAAATGGCATATTTCACAATGGATTCACACGCTGGAAGTTCCTACCATAATCCAACAATAGCGAAGGGAGATCGGAGTTTTGCTTCATACTGTAAATCTAATTGTAAGTTGAACCTCGGTCTACGAAATGGTGCCCAAAGCTCGGCGAAAGACATAAAAGCAACGGAGTTATTAACGATTAAACAGTGTTCACATTTTTTTTGGGACACTCTGTATTTTGCAGCAGAGACCAATTAGGCACGGTATGCAAAGCAACTGATGCACACGCCAAAAAAAAGTGGTTTTAGCAAAGAAACTTTGCTGGAAATGTCTAGCAGACAATCACAATAGCTTCCAGTGCTCCTGGGCAAACTGCTCAGTCTGCAACCAAGCACACAATACTAGTTTATGTATAAGAACTAGAAATAACAATGGGCCGTATAACCCGGCTAACAACAATCAGTATCAATACAGGCGTACGCCTGCACAGTCGTGATTTGCGAACAATCCATTGCGCAATAGGCCAAATGAGCCACGGTGGGGACCTAACCAAGCTAATATTCACACCACCGACGTACCACAAAATGAGGAAACGCCACCAAAACTCGAAAATTCACGAACAAAAGAACAAATTGTGCTCATGACTGCAGAAGGCAATATTTGGAATTACAATACTCGCCAATACGAGGAAGTCTTGTTCCTTTTCGATACAGGAGCACAAAAAACGCTCATTCAAGAGCAGATCGCCGCAAAACTTGGACTACCGCGTAAAGGTGCAGAATTGTGTGCTATGTCGGGAATAGGCGGACAAATTGAGAAATTTCAAAGCAATAACGTCCAAATCAAGGTTCTGTCAGCATTTGGCGTCGAATTAAGTTTTGAAATTCAAACAAAACCAATCATAACCAACGGTTTCCCGTCTTTCAAGTTAACAGCTGACGATAAAATAAGGAAATCTATTTATGCAATCCAAGATATAGCTTTATGCTTGCTACGCAAAACACTTCGATCCTACCGTCGGGATTACATATTGCGAGGACCATTTTCGGCCCCGCAATTCACGGGTGAGGAACTGAACCCAACTCAGAAGTTGCCGAACCTCCAATAGTGTATGGATTAACGCCCGTAAATGAAAAATCTGAAGCAGTCATCTTGCAAAACATGTTTGAACTTGACGGTTTAGGCATAGTTGCTGATGACGCAAAACAAGATGAGGTTACCTACAATTACTTTCGAGAGTATTCAAAATCGATATCTTACGATAACGATTACGCTACAGCTCCGTTCCCTCTGCGAGACAACATCGCTGACCTCGCGGATAACTACCCCGTCGCTCAGCGTCGGCTCGTTTCTTTACGGCACCAGTTGCGCAAACATAACGAACAAAACAACTGGTATTGCAAAATTATGGCAGATTATCTCAAAAACGATATTATCAAAGAAATACCAGAATTATCAGAGAAACATTGTGGTGTTTACTATATGCCACATTCGGGAGTGTGGGAACCCCAAAAACCAAAACCACTGAGAATTGTATTTGATGCATCATCAAAGAAAAAAGGGAAAATATCATTCAACGAGGTTATTGCAACGGGAGAGTCGTTTACAAACAAAATTCACGACATCCTAATAGCCAGTCGCATACCAAAAATCATCGTTTTGTGCGATATTGAAGCAGCATTTACGCAAATCAGACTACCAGATGCCCACAAAGATATGTAGATTTTTATGGCTCAAAAATACCACTAAACCACCTGTAAAAACCAACATCATACAGTACAGATTCAAAAGATTGCCTTTCGGCATCACCGCATCACCTAGCATATCAAATATGGTGCTTGTGAAGTTTCTCGATGCAAAAGACACAGATTTATCAAAAGAAATTGCAAATCTGTACGTCGACAACATAATGCTTCAAGCTGAAACTGTGGAAGAAGCAATTTCAAAATGCAAACTTGCCAAAGAAATGTTTGCAGAAATTGGGCTAAATCTGCGAGAATTCCATCTCTAGTTCCGTAGAAGTCAACAATGCCATACCCGAAAAAGATAAATTAGCGGGTAAAAAGGTGGTGTGGAATATGATATTGAAACAGATCAATTTTGGGTCAATACGAATTTATCATCGTTAGAAAAATTACGCAAAAGGGAGATAGAAGCCAGCTAAATTCAGTCTATGATCCTATTGGATTAGCAGCTCCGCTGCTAATCAAACTTAAGTCTCTTATGCGAGAGATTCACACTCTAAATATTGGTTGGAAATACGGTACCAGAAGAATTGCGCAAAAATGGCAAGTAGCATGCCAAGAAGTGAACAGTGCATCAATTACCGTTCCGCGATGCATAAGAATGCACCTTCTGCCAACTGCCCCATCGCTGATGTGCCCTTCAAAAGCACAACAACTTCACGAACCCCACTTCAAGAAGAGGAAATACCACCATTCCCCCTACTGAATCTGCCAATCAACAATACTACTCTACTATCTACTACTCTAAATATTCAAATACCCACTGCCAACCTACTACTGCCAACCGCCTCATCTCGCCCACCAGCCGCTGCCAACCCCGAAAATCAACAACAACTTCGTCAACCTACAACTCAATCAACGACAACCACCTCAACGTCAATGCCGATCCACAATCAGCTACGCTCAAGGAGACGCGACGCCGTGTGATATAATTTCATTTTCATTTATTCAATTGTCGTTGTTATTATTGTTGTTGCCCCCCCCCTGGCCGGAGTGTTCGGCCATTTGCTACGTATTGTGGCCGAACCGATCTATACACCAATCATCCCGCAGTAAAGCGGGCGGGTTCGGGGGTCAACGGGGCTCTACTGAAGCTTCCTCAGTCTCACAATGAACGTTCATAGCGACGTGTTATGTTATCCCCCAGTTATAGTTGCCCTATAGTGGCACAGTTATTTTGAACAATTTTGTTTCCACAGCCTCTCTGAATCACTTTTGCTTAAAGGCAATGGTTCGGCAAAACCAAACATCTCAAATATTCAATATGGAAGGTTGCTTGCATCCCATAAATCAGAACAGAGCAGGTCCGAGCGCACTACATGCTGCCCCTACCTAGAAAACTGTACTTTTGAAACTTGCATATTTTTAGGGATTTTTAAGTTATTCTAAACAATTTTGTTTCCACAGCCTCTCTAAATCACTTTTGCTTGAAGTCGAATTTTTAAACGCCATTATGTACTGCACATCCAAACAATGTGCCAGCATTGCTGTCCTTACTAATTCCATTGAAAGCCGATGTCCGTCAGTGTTACGGCAACATGCCAGATTGATATATAGCCCTACCAAATCGTGACCATGCGTGCTGGTCAAAGACTTGCTTGTGCGAGAACGATACCTCC